CAACAGCCTCATGCCCTGTTACAAAGAAAGACCCCTAAATCCAGAGACCTACCTCATCCAGAGGGCACCTAGGACACAGCCCCCAAATAGTTCCTAGACCTTAGACCCTGGATACTGACTCAACCTCTCAAAGATCTCACACCTTGGGATGTGCACCTCTGTACACTCAGAACTCACACCTGCACAGACTCCACATAATAGGCTTCACTGGAACTTGTGCTCCAGGTGCCCAAACAGCATGGAGATCTCCCGTGTTGCCCCACACTGGGAATCAGACCTCAAATACATAAGAGAATTTAGGGTTTTCCGTGGTAGAGATGTACATACTACCACTATGATTTCCTAAACTGTTGTGGAACCTTTACAGCCTGATCATTGCCTTCCAAACTGCTCAAGTTTCATATGCTTGGGACAGACCCCCCAGATAGCTGAGACGTTGGCCTAAGCACAACTACCCAAAGACCTCTGAGCATCATCATTCCCTGTTCCTTAACTGGTTCTGAAACCTCATAGCTTGGACACAGACTCCAAAAGTGCTCAGACAACCTAGAAACCACCATTAAACATCCCGGAGAATTTACTCCTAGAACACAGTGCCACAAACAACTCAAACTCTTGACGCCAAGAACGTTGGGATCTCACAGCCCGAAAAGAGACCCCGCTCAGAATTCATACCCTGTGAACAAATCTACATGCAGCTCAGAGACTGCATCTTCTGACACAGTCCCCTTAACAGTTCAGAGTTAGGACACCCTGGGATAGACTATCAAACACTTCGTAGACCTCACTTTGTAACCCATGTTCCCAAAAAGCTCCAAGACCTGAAGACCTGATTATAGACTCCTACAAAGCTTAGAGACTTCCCCACTGGGGATAAAGACCTACCACTTTGAAGCCAGGGCACCATGGCTCACGCCTGTAATCCTAGCTACTCAAGAGGCAGAGATGAGGAGGAAGCCAGCCCCAAGCAAATAGATCCTATCTCAAAAATAACACAAAAAAGGGCTAGGGTGTGGCTCAAGTGGTAGAGCGGCTGCCTAGCAAGTGTGAGGCCCTGAGTTCAAGTTTTCTGGCCACAGTACTGCCAAAACTTTGAGAACTCACAAACTGGGACAAAACTGGACAGAGTTCAGAGACCGTATGACCACTTCTCAGACCACCAGAGAGTTCAGAGACCTCACACTCTGACCACAACACTGGAGAGCCCCCAACATTGGCCCTGACCCAACTCTGACACCTGTACTCTGGACAGATTCTTGCTCGGAGATGTCATATGTTAGACACAGACTTCCGAAAAACAGCTCACAGCTTTTAGGCACTGAGATAGATCCCCAGATAGCTCAGAGACCTCACAGTGGTTTACAGCAGAGCTCAGAGACTTGAAAATCTTGACACAAATCCTCTACTACCTCCAACCCTTCCCACCCTGTCATAAAGCCCCCAAATCACTTGAGGTCACACAGCCTGGACACAGACCCCAAACAGATCAGGAGCTTTCAACTCTTCACCTGCACCTCCAAATAATTACGAAATATCACCCTAGACTCAGACCTCCAAAAGCATTCCTGGAACTTGTACTTTGTACTCACATCTGGAAGGATTTCAGGTCCCTGAATCATGGACACGTCGCCAAACAGCTGACACCTCACATTCTGTGCAAAGTTGGCCACAGACAAAAGACCCTGTAGCTAGAACACAGATCCAAAACAGCTTGGAGACCTCCAGTCATGGACATAGGCTCCCAAATGGCTCAGAAATCATCTAACCTGGGAGACAGAAATACTTGCGAGATATCACATCCTGGCTACGTATGCCCACATGGCACCTCAAGTACCTCCCCCCACTGGGGCACAAACTCCCAGAGTTAACCTCACAACCTGGACAGTAGACCCTCACACAGCAGACATGCAATGTCGAAATACTCAGAGTTGACAAGCTTTACAGACCCCAAACACCCCAGAGACACCAGACACTGGAAATAGAACCTCAAACTGCTCAGAATCCTCAAACTCTGAAAAGAGTCAGAGGCTGCATACCCTGGAATGAAGAACCTCCCAGAAGAAAGTGCCTCGCTCTTGGAAATGTAGCCCAGCAGCTGAGGTACCTAAACACCAGGAGGTACAGAGATGTGAGATGTTACATTTTGGGACACAGAGGGTGAAGGACCTTAGAAGCTTGAGACAGTAAAAGGACATCTGTAGAAAGACACCAGACTCCAAGAATAGATCTTGAAACTGCTCAGAAAAACCAACCCTAAGACAAACCCCTGAATATCACAGAGCACTTGTTCACTGGAACATTAGCTCAAAACAGTTTAGACAAGCAACATCCTGGGTGCTGACATCCAAATATATCAGAGTCCTCATACGAGGGTCACAGACACCTCGCACATAAAAAGAGAGTTGGTTAAGTAGCTCAGAAGCCAGGCACCAGTGGCTTACATCTGTAATCCTAGCTGTTCTGAAGGCAGATAGAAGGAGGACCACGGTTCAAAGCTAGTCGAGGCAAACAACACAAAAAAGGGCTGGCGGAGTGGCTCAAGCAAGGGAGCACCTGCCTAGCAAGTGTGAGGCCTTGAGTTTAAACCCCAGTACCACCAAAAAAAGTAGCTCAGAGATATAAAACCCTGCACAGAGACCACCATCAAGTTAAAACGTTTCACACACTATAGACCTGCAAACAGTCCAGAAAACTCACCCACTGATGCACACAGCCATTAACACGTCAGAGGAATCTGGCCATGGTGGGGCACACCTATAATCCCAGCACAGGAGGACTGAGAGTTCCAGGCCTGCCTGGACTACATGGCAAGTTCCAGGTCCAGCCTGGGCTACATAAGACCCTGTCTCCAAAAAAAAAAATATCTCAGAGACCTTGACTTTGGAAGAAACCCCTAACAAGTCAACAAGTCAGATCTCTCACACACTGTGACTGAAACCTCCCAAAAGGTACAGAAAATTCCCACCTGAAAATATATCCTGGTGAGGTAAAGGAACTCTGGAACCAATGTGCTCACAGGCCACAGATTACTCAGAGACTTCACAAGGTAAAAATGCAAAACAGCCCACTGAACTCACCCAGGGAATGCAGACCAAAAAATGCTCAGAATCCTTGAATTTGAGATTCAGAAATTCTTCTGAGGCTTAGGGAATAGCTCTCAAAATATACTCCAGAAGATTAATGTGTTAGATGCAGAACATTGGATCGGTCATACAGAGTCAAACAGATCAGAGACCTCATGTGCTGGACCTACACTCACACAAATCAGGGGCCTCACCCCCTAAACACACTCACAAAAACAGCTCAGAGAACTCAAATTCTAGGAAGCAAAAAACCCAGACCTCAGACATACAGGAAGATCAAAACCCACTCAGGTTGAGATTAAAACCCACAAAGCTTTCTAACATTCAGGGTCATATACCCACAAACAGATTACAGACTTCAATCCTGGGGACATATGTACATAAAAATGCCAGCTATTTCACATGCCAGGACAAACGCCCCCTCACACTCCGAAAAGAAACCAAAAAATAGATCAGAGACTTCCCATATCAACATACACCCACAAAGAAGGTGATATTATACCCAAAAGCAGACATACACCTGACAATTGTGATGGACACACAGTGATGACAGTACCAACCACCTGGAAATGTACCCATAAGAAGAGCAGAGTCTTCAAACCCTGCAACACACTTTCACAGTCGTACTTCCAAGTCTCTGAACTATTTTTTGGTTTCTTTCCCAGAGTGTGAGTGGGCATTTGCCCAGCACATGAACTGTCTGGTATTTTTATGTGCATATTGTCCCAAGTCTATAATCTGTTTGTGGACATATGGAACTGAATGTTATTTTACAACCATGTCAGAGTCGCAGGCTGAAAAATATCCCCAGAACCAGACTGTATATCTCACAATCATAATGCATGCCCGAAAACACACCAGAGAACTTCCATCCTGGGATCCATCCCATCACACAGATCAGAGAACTCACACCCACAAGCAGATCAGAGATCTTAAATCCTGCAACACACAATCACAAGTCAAAGACCTCACAGGCCAAGAAAACATGAGAAAGAGATCCTAGACCTGACATCCTGCAACACAGACCCACAGAGATCAGTGAGCTCTCATGCCACTTCATATACAGCACAGAGATACACTCAGACAGGTTGTGGCATTCCCATCCTGGGATGTGCACCAATACCTGGGATGTGCAGGTAGATATGCCACAATCTGGGACAGTTGTATTACTTTTGTACTGTTGCAGAAACAAACCACCACAATCTTTTTGTCATATAACAACACAAATTTATTATCTTACATTTTCACAGATCAGAAGAATGACGAGGAGTTTTATAGTGTCAAAGTCAAAGTGTTAGCCGGGTTCCGAGGTGCTTGCCAGTTTCTCAGGAAGCTAAGGTAGGAGGATCGCCTGAACCCAGGAGTTCAAGGCCAGCCTACCTCCCCCAACAAAAAAAAAGGAAGCTCAAGAACAGAATATATTGCATGATTTTGTTTACATATAAATGACATTAAAAAAACACAAATTTTTTTGAGTTAAGGTGTTGGCTAACTTCCCTATGGAGTTCCTTGGAGAGAATGCATTTCTGTTAGATGCCTTCATTCCCGATCTCACTGCTCCTTCCTCGACCTTCAAAGCCAGCAGCATTTCACCTTCAAACCTTTCTCTCTTCCCCTGTCTTTCTCCTCCCCTGCCCTGTCTCCTCTCTTTGTAGCCATCTATTTCTCTGAGCTCTGCTTATATTGTCATGTTATCTTCTCTACTACATCACTTTCTCTGACTCTCACCTTCACACCTTCCTCATGTAATGACACTTGTGATTATGGTGGAAATAATCTAGGATAATTTCCCCAGCTCAGGATCCTTAGCTTAATCACAACTGCAAAGTCCCCTTTTCCATGGCAATTAGCATAATCATGGGTTCTAGGGATTTGGAAGTGGACTTTTTTTTTTTTTTTGGCGGCACTGGGGTTTGAACTCTGGGCCTTACGCTTGCTAGGCAGGCGCTCTATCACTTAAGCCATTTTTCCATCCCAGAGAGGTGCTGCTATCTGGCCATTAGAGATACACACACAAACAGCTCACAGACCTCACTTGAAGTAATCCACTTCCAAATCAATCAAACACCTCCCACTCTCTAACAGACATCCAAAAAGAGCAGAGACACACATTCTGGGACGTAGACCAAAAAATGGTCGTAGTCCGCAATCACTTGGGATTAAACCCACAAACACATAAAAGAACCTCCCATCTGGGATGTACACATTCAAAGAGAACAAAAACCTGGCATGGTAGGATGTGCCCCCACAAAGAGATCAGGGACCCTACATTTCAGGAAATATATCCCCAAACAAGTCAAACCTCCAAACCTGGGACACACATGCACAAATTACAAAAAGAATGCATTCTTAGACATAAACCCACAAGCAGGTCAGTTACCTAACAGACCTCACACCCTTGACAAATGCACAAGACCAGACACTCCAGATACTATGGTATGTGCTCTCAAACACTCTCAAACATAGCAGAGACTTCAGGTAAGAAAAACAACCAGAAAGAAATCAGAGACCTTGAGGTCTGAAACATGAAAAGACAAACAGGTTAGAGATCTTACATGCAGGATATATGCCCAGAATAAGTACAGAGATGTGACAGTCTGAGATAGATACCCACAAACAAATCAGATTTCAAATCTTGTAGTAAGTACCTATATCCAAGCCAAAGATCCAGAAACAGATTGTAGATCTACGATCTTACAACATACAGACATAAACAGACTGAAGAGCTTATATTCTGAGACAAACTCTCAGATAGGTCAGAGGTTTTCAGTTTAAGGTAAATGAACCAAGAGCCCAGTGACTTCACAGCCTGGACACATACACACATTAACATACCACACATACATATGTCAGTAAACAAATCATGTATGCTTGGAAATATACCCCCAAGCCTCAGATATGTGACCAAGTTGAACACACATGCACCAACGACAGCTCAGAGAGCTCACATCCTAGGTTGTGCATCCATAAAGATAGAGGCAGGCCCAGGTGTATTGCACTTGCCTGGCTTGCAGGAGGCCCTGGGTTCCATCCCCAGCTCTGTAGGAGAAAAAAAAAAGAGCTCAAACACCAAACGTGTCCTAGGGCAAGCTTTCACAAATAGATCAGAAAACTCAGATCTTGGGAGAATGCCCTCAACTTAGGTCAGAGACTTTAGACTCTTGTCCATTCACCAGTGGACAGAGGCATTTCACATTTTGAATACCACCTGCAAACGGGTCAGGAAATTCACATTCTGGGACACACTGACAGACCAGAGGCATCCCAGCCCGTACACGCACTTACAGACATCAGAGGCTTCAGGCCAGGGAGCCCAAAACCACAGAAGAGCTCGTGAACTTCATACCTTGCACACGTATACCCAATTCAATCAGAGACCACACATCCCAGGGCATGGAGCCAGAAGCATCAGAGACTTCTGATGGGTATCAGGACACATAACTTCAAACACATGACAGACCTCACACGCCGGTACCTTCACCTCAAGTAGATGAGAGAATTCACAATATCAGACACCCCCACAAGCTCACCAGGGAGTTCACATCCTGGCACGTAAACCAACAAAGATGTTATAGACGTTAAAACGCGGACAGGCAGCCACAAACATATCAGAAACCTCAAGTGCTACAAATAGTTCAGAACCACACTATGGGACACATAGCAGCTGAAATCCTGGGACATGTGACCACAAAGAGATGAGAGGCCTGTCTCTAAAAAGAGACCATGGACTTCAAACTCTGCAACACATATCTACAAACAGATCAGAAACTTCAGGGCCTGAGTCACACGTGACAAACGGATCAGAAAATTCACATCCTCGGATTTACTTCACAAACAATGCAGAGACCATATACATCTGATATGCATACCCACAAGTACATCAGAGATCTCAAATCCTGCAATGTATAATCATAATCAAGTCAGAGATAGTGTAGGCCAGGAAAACACCAGAAACAGACCCTAGACATGAAGTAATCTACACCCATGAACAGATCAGAAAGCACATGTGCTGTACATTTACCAACAAACAGATCAGAGTCCTCAACCTGATATGTCACCAACAAAGAGCTCATGAAGTTCACACCCTGGACATACACACCAAAACAGATCAGACACTTAACATCCTCGACATATATTGTGGGGAGCAGATTATAAGAAGCCTATGAGAACTTGACATAAGCACAGTTGTGCTCAATGATCTACAGGGTGAGTTTGGCCCGGCCCCAGCTGCAGAAGACAGCGAAGGTAAAATGCAGCACAGCTGCTTTTCCTAAGTTGTTTAAGTTCAGAGAAGTAGAGAGCAGGTTTCTCTTATTACAATGTCACACAGCTCCCCAAGAACTGTTGCTCCACCTCCTTGTTTACTACTAGATACAAAAGACTTGCTGAAGGAGGATGAGGGGTTTTTTGATGGAGGTTTTTTGATGGGGGATTGATGGAAGGGTTTTTTGATGAGATTTTTGATTGGCTGCCACTGCTGCTGCTGGTGGTTGTTGTGTCTCCACCAAAGCAGCTTTCTGCACCAAGAACTTTAGCTTTAGAAAAGCTAAGCTAAAGAAAAGCTAAAGAGAACATGGGACAGTGCAAGTCTGAGGGCCAAGACTTTAAAAGAGATTAAGGAAAACATGGGACAGAGCAAGTCTAAGGAAAGAGACTTTAAAGAACAGAAAAGAAGCAAGGTTTTACAGAAAGACTTTAGAAGTAAGGACTTAAAGAATAGAGAAGAAAAGAGAAGTAAAAGAAGAGTTATTAGAGAAAAGAAGCAACGAGGCTGCTGTGTGTCTCCATCTGAGCACCCAGCATACTTGACCCCAACTTTATGCATGTCTGTCTTCTATCATTTGTCCTTTCTGCATCTTCAGTTGCCCCCAGTTAGGTTCAGTAGTAATGGAGCACAAGAAAACTCGCTACAATATATAACCAAACAAATGACAGAATTTATCCTTGGAAGTGAACCCCAAACATGAGAGCCTTAACGACCTGGGACATAATCCACAAATATCTCAAAAACCTACTGGAACATTACCCCTCATCAGCTCAGAGATGTCACATCTTAGCATCTTAGGACAGGCATGCACAAACAGCTCAGAAACCATAAATTCTTGGATACACACCACTAAACATTTGGGTACCTCTCACTCTGGTTCAGATACCTACACAGAAAGCAAAGACTTTTACCATCACACACATACACAACCACGGAGCTCACATCCCGAGATATCCTCTATCAACATTGCAGCCTAGGACGATGTATTCATTTTTCCTATTGCTCTTGTAGCAAGTCACAATCTTAGAGTTATAAAACAACACAAATTTATTACCTTACCTTTCTGCAGATCAGAAGCCAAAAAAAAGAATGGACTTCCATGGGCTAAAATCAAGGTGTCAGTAGAGCTGCATTTCTTCTGGGCGTTCGAGGGGAGCTGTGTTCTCTGGCTTTTCCAATTCCAGAGCTGTTTGTAGTCCTTGGCTTGCGGCCCCTTCTTCCATGTTCAAAGTCAGCAACATTTCATCTTCAAATCTCTCACTCTCTCTGACATCATACCAGCTCCTCTGCCTCTGACAGTCCTGCCTCTCTCCTGTAAGGACCCTCGAGATAACATTGTGCTTTACACCATGACATAGGGACAAGAAGCCTCACATTCTGTGACATGAACACAGAACTGATCAGGAGTTTAACAAAAGAAAATACACCCCAAAAAGACATACACACCTCAACAGATCAGAAAACTCACATGCTGGGGCATGCACACAAAATTAAATTGGAGACCTCCCATCCTAGAACACACAACCTCCAAAAGCTCAGAGCACAAACTCTGGAATACACACCACTAAACAGATCAACAGATCAGAAACATAAAGCTACACAAAGATGAGAGACCTCTCCCATCAGACACACACAGATAGATCATGGAGTTCCCATCTTGGGATGTGTACCAAAATGCAGACAGACATGCCACAACCTGGGACATCATGTCAGTTTTATTGCTGCTCAAACAAGTAACAGCAGTCTTATTGTCCAAACAATAAATATTTATTATCTTACACTTCTGCAGATCAGACTGATGAATTTTACAGAGTCAAAGTCAAGATGCTGGCAGAGCTAACTTCCTTCTGTAGTTCCTTGGAACGAATCCAGTTCCTGTAAGACACCTACGTTTCCCAACTGCACAAACAGATCAGTGACCACACACTCTGGTGCATCCACCTACAAACATGTCAGAGATGTCCTGTTCTGGTAAATACAGCTACAAACAGATCAGAAACCAATCATCCTACATGGAGGTTATAGTCATAAAGAGAGGGAAGAGACTGACCTCGAACTCTTGGCACATCCATGAGCCGATTCAGAGAATTTATTTTTATTTTTTTAGTGAGAGTGATAATAACGTTTATTAAAGGTGAGAAAGTACCACTAGAAGCTATGGTGGATAGAAGGCAAAAAAAAAAAAACAAAAAACCCAAAACCAAAAAAAACCGCCAGTCTGTTTCAAAGAGCTTTTTATATATCACAAGGGCAAAAGGTGGGAATTTAGAGAATTTATATATAGAGATATGTAGGCAGACAGATCATAGACCCTGAGAAACACACTCAGAAACAGTCCTTGACATACACCAGTGAGGACAGACTCACATCCTGGTATATAGCAACAAAGGAATCAAAGACCTCACGTCCTAGGAAATATACTACAACAAAGAGCTCAGAGAGGGCTGGTGGAGGGGCTCAAATGGTAGAGCGCCTGCCTATCAAGTGTGAGTTCAACCCCAGTGCTGCCAAAAAAAAAAGAAAAGAACTCAGAAACTTCAACCATGGGACATACATACCCAAAAAGCCCTGAGACCTATATCCTAAGTCCCAGCCACAGACTGAGAACTCACTCTGAAATCCACCCCAAATAGGTCAGAGACCTCATACACTGGGACGAATAGCCAAACATTCCAGAGACTTCACATATTGGGATATGCAGAGGGATAGACAGGACTAGATCTGCAACCTCACATTCTGGGACATACATCATCTAAGAGCTCAGGGGCACTCACATCTTGGGAAATACACCCACAGTATTCAGAGACAAATGCCCAAAGCGTTGCAGCACAGACCTCACACCTTGGGGCATACACCCTCAGGCACGACAGTCTTCATATTCTACAACACATACAGCCAAATAGATCAGAGTACTCACATCCCTAGAAAATACAACCCCAAAATATCAGAAACGTAACATCCAGAAATATATACCTGGAAAGATCTGAGATACAACATCCTGGGATACAGACTCACAGATAGATCAGAGATGTCACATCCAGCGACACAAATTCAAAAACAGATCAGAGACCTCACTCTGGAAAGCATACACACACAAAAAGATCAGAAACCTTGTACCAATGGACATAAGCCACGAACAGCAGAAACCTCATGTACTCACCAAAATAGATCTAAGAATTCCCATCTTGGAATACATACCCACAAACACACTGGAAATCTCTCATTCTGGGAAACACAGACCTAAATGGATCAGACCTCACAACCTTAGACACACACAGACAGAGCTCAGCTACCTCACACCTTGGGACATACACCCATAAATGGAGGAGCTATAATCACATCAAGAGCACCCAAGGGCTGGCTAAGTGGCTCAAGTGGTAGAGTGCCTACTCAGCAAACATGAGGACCTGAGTTCAAATCCCAGTACCACCAAAAAAAAGACAAGTGGCTCACACACACACACACACACAAAAAGAATAAAACAAAAACAAAAGAGCACCCACAGACAGCTCAGGAAACTCACAGGATTCATAAACAGTTCAGAGAGCTGGTACCCTGTCCACAAACTCAAAAATATCAATATCTGGATACAGACCCTCAAACACATCAGATACTTCATGTTTAGGGACCCAGAGGCCCAAGTTGCTCTGACACCTAGGGTCCTGGATGAGGAGTTCAGTTACCTTGGTGATGTCTCTTCCTGGGATTGGAAAATACATGTACCCCCAAGAACACACAAAACCAGTGCAGTCACCCAGAGTCCATGAAGGTGAAACCTGAGATACAAATTCTCAAAGCTTTCAGTGACCTCTCATTTAGAGCACATAATAACACAGACTTCGAATCTTGGACCCAAGCACCAAGTATCTTGGAGACATCTTCCCTGAGACTAAGGATCCCAGTTATCATCATATTCAGGATTCAAACAGAAAAACAGCCCAGAATCTCCACACTTTGTGACACAGATGCAAATAACCCAAGATCTAGAAATCTGCAGAGAATCCAGAGAGATCAGAAACTATGTGAAACAGAGAATGCCTCCACAACACAGCTGTGATAGCACGGATGACAGACATGAAAACAACATTTGTGAAAAATAAAGAAAAGTAAAACAATCTAAAAATTGCATAACAAATTACCTCAAAATTTACCAGCTTACGACTGTAGTAAGCATTCGTTATTTCAGAGTTTCTGGGAGTTTAGGACCAGCTTAGCTGAGTGGATTGGCTTCAGGTCCTCAGACTGCAGTCATCTGAACGCTTAACTGGAGCCACATGCTCCACGTCCACGTTGGGTCACCCCCACGGCTGACAGGGAAGCACTGGTTTTTGGCTGGGGTGCCTCAGGACTGCCGCTCTCCTTGAAGGTCTTGAGTGTCCTCACAACATGGCAACTTGCTTCCACTAGCATGAGTGATCTGAGGAAGGGCAAGACAGAAGCCAGAATGCCTTTTAAATTTCCCTCCAGAGGAAGCACTACTTTGCTGCAGCCCACAACTTTGGTAAAGCTTTACTTTCATTTCATTCAAACTATTTTTCCTTTCTCTGGAGACTTCCTTGACTCACTGAGGCCCTGCTCCCTCATCACAAAGCCTTTTTCCAGAATTCATTTTGTTACAAATGACTGGCTGGCGAGCTGAGGGTTGTTTTTTTTTTTTTCTTCCTGGACAGAAATCACAGATCAGCAAAGATCAGCTCTCTCAGTGTTGGTGCTTGTGAGTTCCAGAGGCTTGGAACTCCTTGACTCGAATCCTTGACAATTAGAGGCTATGGCCTCTAATTCAGAGGCAGAAGTGTATTGCTCTAGGTGGTCAATACAGAGGCTTTATTTTTGTAGGCTAAGAGTGCCAACATCCAGCAGCCATTGTTGGAGCTCCAGAACGTTAAGTGTTGGGACCCTTGGCTCTTTACCCCTTTGCAGCTTTCTTGAACTCTTTCAGTAACCAGGGCTTGCAATCCTCATAGTTTCAGCTGCCCCCAGTTGCTCTCTAGAACTTTCTTTCCCACCACCCCCTAGCGTTGCAGCTCAGAGTTTTAGTTGTTGGAGCCCTCAACTCTCTTCCACCTGGTAGAGAGAGGTGGATAGCTAAGGGCTTGGGTATCAGGCCCTCAGCTCTTGGTGGCCCTCTCGAACTCTTAGCAGCCTTAGTGTAACAGCTGCCACCACTGCTGAGAGGCTGGAAGGCCCTGGGTCTTGCTTGCTCTTTGTGCAACCAGTCCAGTCTGCCTTACCTGTAACAAACACCATAAGGAGGTAAAATGACCATTTGAGAGAAGCCTCTAATTAGGGCCTAATGTTCCAACACCAGTGGGCAGTATACAGGAGAGGACCTGCTGGCTTACTCAAAAGTGTGGAGGAGCCAGGCACTGGAGGCTCACACCTGTAATCCTACCTACTTAGGAGGCAGAGATCAGGAGGATTGTGGTTCCAAGCCAGCCCGGGCAAATAGTTCCCGAGACCCTATCTCAAAAATACCTAATACAAAAAAGGTCTAGCTAAGTGGTTCAAGTGGTAGAGCGCCTGCCTAGCAAGCATGAGGCCCTGAGTTCAATCCCCAGTGCCGCCAAAAAAAAAAAGTGTGGGAAGAAACAGATCATGTTAAGGAAGAGGGTACTAGTGGGAAGGGGAAGAGTAAATGAAGAGGGTAAAGGAGGGTGAATATAGTTGATATACTTTCTACACATGTATGAATATGAAACCTGTGGAAGTCATTTTAAGAAGGGGGAAGAGGAAGAGGGAGAATAATGGAGGGGATGAACCAAATCTGGGTACATTGTACACATATATGGGAATGTCACAATGAACCCCCTGTACAACTATTACATACTAATAAAAATTTTTTTTTATAAAAAGTATAGGGAGTAGCCTGGTTAAGTAGCCAGAGAGGGAGTGTGGTATGTAAATTTGGGGTTGTAACTTGCACCAATCACAGCACAATTTTCAGTTTCACTGAGAGTAATGACAACTCTCACATAAGGACCAATCACAAGCCATCCACTGAGTCACCAGGGAAAGTGCCCCCTCCCCCAGTGAGAACAGCTTCAGGGTTAGAAGGGTCATCTAGTGTTCACTGAGGCTTGTGATGGCTGAACGAACTTACACTGTAAATTGTCTGAAGCAGTTCTGACTGGAGCAGAAACAGTGGCTTCAGTAGTATCTGTGGTTACAGTGGTCTTTGCAGCTGGAGTAAAGTGTTCAAAGCAGCTGAGCTGTCAAACTATCAGTATGGCCAGTCTTCAAAAGAGGAGCTGCTGGGCTGGTGGAGTGGCTCAAGTAGTAGAGTGCCTGCCTTGCGATCATAAGGCCCTGAGTTCAAACCCCAGTACCACCAAAAAGAAATCATTGTTTGGCTGTGAGTGCCACACCAGCTTCTGGAGATGACAGGCTGCTCCCTCTCTTTTTCTTTTCTCATGCTAAACATCTGTTATGAGTGGAACTGTGTCCCCTAAAAATTAATATATTAAAGTCCAATCCCTTAGGACCTGAGAAATGTGAACTTATTTGGAAATAGAAGTCTTTTCAGATGTAATTACTAATGTTAGAATGAAGTCATGCAGGAGTAGGCTGGGCCCCTGATCCAACATGACTGGTATCTTTATTGAAGGGGGAAATTTGAACAGACAGGCACACACACACACACAGAGTAGGTCATGCAGCACACAGTAGGGATGCAGCAGAAGGTAAGGAACACCAAGACACCAGCAACCCCCAGAGGCTAAGAGGCTGGGAATAGACTCTCCTCTGCCTGTCAAATCCAACCTTACCTTGATCTCTGACTTGTCACTTCAGAACCATGAGAATATATTTCTATTGTTTAAGCCTCCCCCCCCACCCCCGCAATGGGTTATTTTGTTATGACGGCATCCTGAGCAACCTAATACAATATCCGACAAAACAAGAAAACAAGAAATAAAAAAGCAATATCCTACCATGCACACATAGTCCTCCATAACAAAGAATTTTGGGGTACAAAATGTCAGTAGTCCTGAGGTTGAGAAATCCTGCCCTAGACTCAGAACCTAAAAGTGTTTACTGACCTCAGTTCTCTGACAGAGGCCACAGTAAACATAGTTTTGAAAACAGCCCTCCCAAAGTGCCCAGAGGCTGTACCCTCCCTGAACACAAAAGCCCAAACAGCTCAGAGAAGAAAAGCCCCTTAGAGACCTCTAAAAGGTAAAAGACATCACACTGAGACAAAAAACAAAGACCACTGAGAAGATGAAAGATCTAGTATCTAAAAACATGCAGTGCCTTGGGGGCTCAGTAGCTCACACCTGCAATCCTAGCTACAAAGGAGGATCCAGAATTCGAAGCCAGCCCAGGCAGACACTTCAAGAAACCCTATCTCAAAAATACCTATCAACAAAAAAGAGATGGCAGAGCCAGGCGCCGGTGGCTCACGCCTGTAATCCTAGCTACTCAGGAGGCAGAGATCAGGAGGACTGAGGTTCCAAGCAAGCACAGGCAAGTAGTTCACAAGACCTAATCTCAAAAATACCTAATACAAAAAGGGCTGGTGGAGTGGCTCAAGGTGTAGGCCCTGAGTTAAGCCCCAGTACAGTAAAAAAAAAAAAAAAAAAACAGAATAGAGAATTGGACTGGGGCATGGTGGCTTATGGGTGTAATCCCAGCTATGCAGGAAGTTTATACTGGCAGAGACTGGCCTCAGGCAAAATAAGAGATCCTATACAAAATATATCGAAAGAGAAAAAAGGGCTGGGTGCCAGTGGCTCACGCTTGTAATTCTAGCTACTTGGGAGGCAGGGATCAGGAAGATTGCAGTTCGAAGCCAGGCTGGACAAATATTTCGTGAGACCTTATCTAAAAAAATACCCAATACAAACTGGGCACCAGTGGCTCACACCTATAATCCTAACTACTCAGGAGAGCCTATCTTGAAAAGCCCAATACAAAAAAGGGCTGGTGGAGTGGCAAAGTGTAGGCCCTGAGTTCAAGCCCCAGTACCACAAAAAAGGGGGGGCCAGCAGAGTGGCTCAAGTGATTGATAGAGCACCTGCCCAGCAAGGGTGAGGCCCTGAGTTCAAACCTCAGTACCACCAAAAAAAAAAAAAAAAAAAAAAGACTGACAGTGGAAAAATGATCAGGGGGCATAAAAGAGAATTTATAAAACTTAAATATAGCTTGCTCACCAACACAGGGAACAATGTTATACCTCTCTAGCAGTAAGAGACGTGCCAATAAAAGAAAAATTCAATTCAATTTTAAGAAAAAGCTTGAGGGTATGGCTCAAGTAGTAGAGTGCCTGCTGAGGCTGAGTTCATATCCTAGTACTGTAAAAAAAAAAAAAAAGGAAAGAAGTATAGAAAAAGAGAAAGAAAAGAAAGAAAAATAGCCCCTGAGACTATTTTTCTTAAGTCCTATCAAGAAAGGGGGGGGGCCCCTGAGTACTGCCAAAAAAAAAAAAAAAGGTAAAAGAAAAAAAAAACCTGTATATCTGGAGGCAGAGACCCATAAATAGCTCAGAAATTTCACACCTTGGGATGGAGACCCCCCTTCAAACATCTCAAAGACCTCAACTCCCGAGACACAAATCAGCAAACAGTCCAGAGACTTCACCGCCCATTCATAGATGTCATATCCTGAACTGAGATTCCAAAACAAGTCAGAGACTTCACAACCTACACACAATCTTCCATATCGCGCTTAGCACATGAAAATTAGCCTATGATGAATTGACTTGGAAATCATTTTCCTCTCGCCCACCCTCAGCCAAATACCTCCCAGGCCTGATGCTCAAAATCCCATCATTAAAAAGTGAAATAGGGCTGGAGGTGTGGCTCACAAACTCAAAGTCCTGGGGGTGGGCGGGAGTGGAGATGCCATAATAGACAGGGAGTGGCAGCGAACATCTGAAATCCCATCACTCAGGAGCTGGAGGCAGGAGTATCACAGATTCAAGGCCAGCCTGGGCTACAAATCCAGACCCCTTCTAAAAAAAATGTAGTCATTTACAGGCCACCCGGTCACCCTACTCCTCTTCCCACACACCTCCACCACATCCCCTAGTCAGACCTAGTCCAGAATGGGCAGGAATCCTCCAGATAACCCTCAGAGAGAATCATGAGATTGCCTTGAATCTTATCTGCTGGACCCCAACCTATATCGAGCCTGAAAGACTTACAGAGACGCTGGAGAAGAGTTTTTCTTAAGGAGGTTGTGAACAGTGAGTGGTCCTGAAATCAACATAGAAGGCAATGAACACTGTTTACAAAAACAAAAGAACAGCTAGAAGTCAACGAAAAAGATTACCTGACACAATCTGTACCAACTCTTGAGCACAAGCCAATAATGCTAGCTTCGCTCACGGGTTTGCAAGTTGAAGTTCATGGCGGGATTCGAACTTCTAGCCTACAATAGTCAAAGCACTGCTGCTGCAACCCACACCAACCCAGGAGC